GCCAGATTGGGGACGTTCTCCTTCACTATATTTTCAAGTAAGTTTTCAATTTCTTGCTCTTCCTCTTCTCCTTTTGGCACCCCTATGATTCAGATGTTAGAATGTTTAAAGATGTCCTGGAGGTCCTAAACCTCTCCTCATTTTTTTTTTTTTTGAATTCTTGTTTCTTAATTCTGTTCTGGTTAAATGTTTATTTCTTCCTTGTGGTCTAAACTGTTGATTTGAGTCCTGGTTTTCTTCCCTTCACTGTTGGTTCTCTACACATTTTCCTTTATTTCACTTTTCATAGCCTTAATTTTTTCCCCTCCAATTTGACCATATTCAACCAATTCTGTGAGCATCCTGATTACCAGTGTTTTGAACTGTGCACCTGATAGGTTGGCTATCTCTTTCTCACTTAGTTGTATTTTTTCTGGAGCTTTGATCTGTTCTTACATTTGGGCTTTTTTTTTTTTTTTTTGGTCTCAGCATATCTGTTAGGTAGTATGAGGGGAAGCCTTAGGTTTTCACCAGGGAGGGGCAACACAGGTAGCTGCATTGTGGCACTGTATGTGGGGGAGGGGTCCAAGAGGGAACAGTGCTGCTTGCTCCACTCTGCCAGATTACAGTCACTTCCTCCACTTCCCACAAGCAAATTGACCCTTCCTGGTGCTGCTGATCCCGGGGCAGGGGGGAGCGTGGGTTTGTGTACATTCTAAGTCCCTGTTGGTCTCTCCAACAAACTCTCCTCTGAGGCTGGGAGGTTCTCCCACTGCCGCCTCAACCCTGGGTTGTTTGGTCGGTCTCGCTTCCTCGCTGTTCCTCCTGTTTATCTGCACGTGAATGCGGGACCACCCAGTATGTAAGCCTCCACGCCCCTACCCCTGGTCCAGCAGCCCCCACCTTGCCATGAGTCCTTTCCACCTGGCTGCCCATCTCCACTCCTCCTAACAGCCTGAATGAATGTTTCTCCTTTAACTCTTTGGTTGTCAGACTTCCATAGAGTTCAATTTCTGTCAGTTCTGTTTTTTTTGTATTTGTTGTCCTTCTTTTGGTTGTGTGAAGAGGCACAGTGTGTCTACCGACACCTCCATTTTGGCCAGAAGTCTTGCACATCCCCTTTTAAAGTGCTTGTGTAGGTAAGTCTCTTACCCATTTTTCTATTGGATTATCTGGCTTTCTTAGTGATTTCCAACTGAGTCTTTAAAATTTTCTGGGTAGGAGACATATCAGTTTACTTGTGATTCAAACATTGTCTTCCAGTCCATGGATTACTCTTCTACTTTTAATGGCATATTTCAGTAAACAGAAGTTCTTAATATTAATTTAGTTCAATTTAGCATCTATTCATTTTTGGTCAGGGCTTTCTGTTTCCTGTTTAAGTAACTTTCCCACACTCTTAGGCCATGAAGCTTTTTTTTTTTTAACTGTTTACCTTAGATCTATAGTCTTATCTGTGTATGGTATAAGTTAGAGGGCAAATGGTCAAATGACATTTATGGGTATCTATTTCAGGGACTGCACAATAATTATCAAAAAGAACATCCTAGACCAGCCGTGTTCAGGGTGGTATGGACTTACTGGTGGCACCTTTGCAAGTATGTGACTATCTAGCCACTATGCTGTCTATCTGAAACTAATACAAAATAATACTGAATGTAAATGGTAACTGAAAAATAAAATTAAAAAGACCATCCTTTCCATACTATTTTGCTGTTAACATAGTCAAATGTCTACACACATGTGGGTCTGTTTCAGGGTTTTCTATTCAGTTTCCTTAATCTATTTACCTATACTTATGCCAATACCACACTGCCTTAAATACTATGAACTTTATAATAACTCTTAATATCTGGTAAGTCCTGCCACCCTGTTGTTCTTCAAGAGTGTCTTGATATTCTTGAGCTTCTACATTTTCATACAAACTTTAGAAACAAATAGTCAATTTCCAGCCCCCAAAACTTTTCAGGCTATGGACTGGGGTTGGATAGAATCTATGGATCAATTTAGGGAGAATGGACATCTATATAATAGTTAGCCTTTCATTTCATGAATGTAATCTGTTCCTCCTTTATTTACCTTTTCCTTAAATTCTCTAAATACATTATAGTTTCTTATTTAAAGGTATAGTAAGTTTCTTGCTAGTTGATTCCTATATGTTTGCATTTTCAATGTTGTAATAAATAGACACCTTATTAATTCTATTTTCTAATTGTTCATGGATACAGAGAATTCAGCAACTGTACTAAACACACTGCTTAGTGCTAACAACTTTATATACATTAGATGCTTTTGGATGTTTCTACATATAAAACAGCATTGTCTGCATATATTGAATTTTTTCTTCCAATTCTTACATGTTTTATTCCTTTTAATTATCTTATTGCACTGGCTAGAACTTACAGCATATTGTGGTAATAGCGAGCATCCATATCTCATTCCCAATTTCAGAAGATAAACTTTCATCATTTCACCATTAAATATGCTATAAGTTTCTTTATAGATACTCCTAAAATTACTCTTCCTAGCTTGCTTAAGAGTTTTTCATCATGAGTAGCTGTTAAATTTTAGTGTTTTCTGCAACTAATGATAACTGTATGGTTTATTTCCTTCGTTATCATTTTTATCACATATTATCCTTTTACATTTATAGATCTAATTGTTTTTTTTTAGGATTTTTGCATGTATGTTCATGAATGAGACTGCCTTATACTTTTTTTCTTGTAATGAACATCCTTTACAATATCTGACATTAAGATTATGTTGGCCTGGCAGGACTTCCAGACTTAAGAGGATTTTAGCCACTGCATTCCAAATCTCACCACACATCCTCCCTAAAAACATCTATACATTTATACAAAGAACAAAAAAGTCACATATAACTCATGCCCCCAAACATTAATAGGAGGCAATATAATAGCCTTCAAATTGCCTACAAGCAGAGAAATAAACAATTCCAACCCAGCTTGCACCACACACCACTGCAAGCCTATGGGTAGAGATAGGGGAGGAAAGATTAGAGGTTCTGTAAAATAGAGTAGAAACACACTGAGGACTGAAATTTCCACAACACCCCTGAAAATAAAGAAAGTCTTAAGTCAAGGCTTGGTAGTTCATAAAACTGAGCACAGAAATGAGGCTTGAAAGCAAGTAAAACTAGAAGTTGCAGCCTTGGAGAAGCAATGCTTGTGAAACAGAGTTAGATGTTTAAAGAATGTCGGTACCCCTCTGGAGACACAGCAGAGAAAGGAAATAAATAAAGAAGAGAAAAAGTAAGGATATATACAAATAAAAGAAAAATAAGATAGCCACCCACTCCCCCCTCCCCTAAAAACCAACATAATCCATTAAAGGAACTGCAGAGAAGGCGAGACTGGAAAGAGAGTTCTCCAACTAGAAAATCTACTCACAAAATAAAGAGGAGTTCAAAATACTAAATAAATAAATAGAGCTCACATTCACATGAAACTACTATTAAAAACAGAAAATGTGAATTAAAGCATTTCATCTAATGAAACTTCTCCCCCAAACAACCAGAAATAAAAGAAAACTAACACAACACTCAAAAGTGAATTACAAGTGAATATACAAACAAACATGCAGAACACTTATACAGAAGCTAAGAATAGAAATGGAGGAAAAAAGGAAGAAACAGAACAAAGTTGATTAAACTAAGAAATAGAAGAAAAAACATATTAAAAATGAATATTACATAAAAAGGTGCCCAAAGGAGAATAAATTCAAATGCAAATGTAGTAAAGGCATTGAGGAAAAGAAAACAATAAAAAGAAAAGGATAAACAAGGAAGTATGCCAAAAGGAAGTGACTTATAGAAAAAAGGCAAGAAAGGCCAAACACTCATTTAAGTGGAGATAAACTTACTCCAAGATGCTTGTGTACAAGAAAGACTCTGGAAGAACATATTCAAACACTGAGACAATATGTAAAATAGTAATCCAAGAAAACTTCCTGGAAATGAAAGAAAATTTAAACTACACATTTAAAGAGCCAACTAGGGAAAACTTAACAAGAACAAAAACTGTACGGATACTGACTTACAGAGACTATAAAACTTGAACAATACAGAAAAGATCCTCAAGGCCTCCAGGCTAAAAGATGAGATAACTTATGAGAACAGAGAATCAGATTGGTATCGATGTATTAAAACCGTATATTAAGCAAGACAAAAGTAGAAATTCATTTTTAAGAAACTTAAAAATAGTGAAAACAAAGATTTTGTATCTTCAAGTTGTCCCTTGACTATCCAGGCATAAAAGAATACTTGGAGAGGGAAAAAAGAATACTTGAACAAGGAAGCATTCACAAAAATACTTCCACATGCACCTTTCCTAAAGATTTTAATCACCTTTCTCAATCCAGCTCATCAACTGAATGGCAGATGCAGAAAATTACCTAAATGACTATTTTTTTAGTTCTCTTACAGATATGCAAGAGTATAATTCTAGCTGCACAGAAAAGAAGTTAATCCATTGAATTCAATGGATGCATTAGGATTTAAACTCCATCTAATCAAGTGATGACAGAAAAAATTTAAGCAAAAGGACTAATGAGTTAAGTGAGCAGTTTACGTATTTAATTGTAGATTAAAAACAAGACTGGGCTCAAGGAAAAAGAATGCTGTGTAAACAAGTTCTGACAACTTAAAAAATACAACTAAAATAATAGAAGAGAGGAAAGAGAAAAAAGAGCAAACAATAAAATCACTGACTATTGAATGGGTAATAGGTGGAGAAGTAAAGAATGCCATTCAAAGTTGACATACAGATAGTAAAAGGATAGGTTATAAAGTGAGAAGGATTAAAAGCACTAAAAAACATTATACAAGTGAAAGGTAATCACTGGAAGAAAAATTCAGTTCTTCCAACATATCGAAAGAGGTATTTTTTAAAACTCTGGTAAAACACACAACAATAAACATAAGTATGATACAGACAATAATTATAAAATGGCAGGATAGAAAAACAAACATCAGTTAAAACAATTAATGTGAATGAACTTACCTTGCCTATGTGAAGATTTCAAACTTGCTTAAAGAGCAAAGTGTACCTCTATGCAGTTTGTATAGGACACACTTAAAATGCAGTTGTTCAAAAAGGCTAAAAATAAAGGGATAAACAAATAATACTTATCAGGCAAGTGTACATAATCAGATTGCAGTCACATTAGACAAAATTTAAGCAAAAAAATTCAATGGACAAATCTAGAAGCACGCAATGAAAAAATAAGTTATTAATATCTATGAGCCAAATAATAGAAACTACAGTCAATCTAAGAATAAGTAGAAATTCACTATAAATAAGACTCACACACCACTCAGTATGAGAGAGAGTTCAAGGGGAAACAAGTAATGGCATAAATGATCTAAACAATATAACCAGTAAGGTGGGTTTTTGGACATATATTGAACACTAGACTCTAATATAGAAAATACACCTTTTTTGAACAAACACAAAAAATCTTTCTATATTAAGGCACGAAGAAGTCATTAATATGGTCATAAAATAAAAATATTTTATTTTATACAATTATTTGTATAATATTTTATACAAATAAAATATTTTATACAAACACTATCCTCTGATTATAATGCAAAAGAAACCAGAACTTAAGAAATACTGGAAACATTATAAATACCCACCAAAAGGAGAAATGGATAAATTAAATATTATACAGCAAAAAGAATGAATGACCTAAGAGTACTTGCAACAACAGATACATTTAACAAAACTGTTCAACAAAAGATCTAAAGACAAAACCATATGTAATAATGATCTAAATTCAAACTCAGGCAAACTCATTGATGCTCGAACTCAGCATAACAGCTGCCCTTTGAGAGAAGGGTGACGATGACTTGAAGTGGACACTGTAATGTCTGGGTGCTGGTTTCACAGGGAAATTCATTTTGTAAAATTTCACCAAGCTCTGCATCGGTATCAGTAAAACTTACAAAATTAAAAAAAAAGAAAACTAGAAACAAAATACAAAAATGTCTTTCCTCCCAAAAGCTGAAACAACTCTTATATGAAAGAGAATATATACACAAATCTCGAAATTTCTGAAAAAGAGATCGTGAAAATGTTACATACCAGAGTTCATGGAACAATTTAAAATAATAATAAGAAAAAAATTCAGACCTCTAAACACCTATGTCAATTTTGTAAGTAAATTAATTAATTACATTCCTAACTCAAAAAGCTAGAAAAAGAACAAGGTAAACCAAAAGAAACTACAAAGACAGTAATAAAGATACAAGTAGAAATTAATGTTGTAGAGAACAGATCAAATCAATCAAAATCCTGGTTCTTAAGAAAACCGAACCCATTTATATGAGGTATCTAAAATAGGTTCATAAACAGAAAGTACAACAGGGGCTGGGGGTGGGGCCTGGGGAGCTATTACTCAGTGGTCCAGAATTTCGGTACGGGAAGATGAAGAAGTTCAGGAGAAGAATGTGCTAATGGTTGCACAACCATGTGAATCTATGTAATGCCACAGAACAGTGGCATCTAACCACTCAGAATGGTTAATATGGTCAATTTTATGCTACTTATTTTTTACCACAATAAAAAATACTGAAATAAAGCACACACAAATTCTGTCAAAGAAAAAGGGAATACACAGATGTAAAAAAGATAAAACATAAGTCTACTGTACTTACTTCAATGCAAATGCATTTTAAAACCTACATGAAATGGATAATTTCTTAGGAAAATACGGTTTACCAAAATGAACCCTGGCAGGGGAAAAACACTTAAATCAACTAATTTCCCCCAAAGAATCAGAGAAAGTTATCAAAGAGCTAACCCAGGGTCCCGCAACCACGCCCCCACCCACGAGTCTGTGGCCTGTTACTGGAACCAGGCTGCACAGCAGGTGAGCTTGAATGTAATGCACTTGAATCATGCTGAAGCCATCCCCTGCCAACACGGGTTCACGGAAGAATTATCTTCCACGAAACCGGTCCCTGGTGCCAAAGATTGGGGACCGCTGAACTAACCCACAATAAGAAAAAACCTAACATGTACTTATTTTTTGGACCATAAGACGCATCCAGGTTTTAGAGGAAAATAGAAAAAAAAGTTTGAAGGAAAAAATGTGGTATAATATTTAACAGCATAAATAACATGTTTCACCAATGTAAATGTAAATAGAACTCAACAGCAGCATTAACAACCACTGTTCCTCCCCAATGTGGGGTCGGGGTGCATCTTATAGTCCAAAAAAATACGGTAATGTTGGCAGGGTTTTGTGTGATGTTCCCTTTTTCATTCCTAATATTGGTTACTTGTACCTCTGTTTCTTTTAAACTGATTTATCTCACCAAATTTATTGATGTCATTGATCTTTTCAAAAGACCAGCTAGTATTGCAGATGCCCTCCAGTGTATGTTTGTTTTCCATTTTATTATCTTCTCCTTTTGTTATGTCCATCTACTTCCTCTGGGTTTAGTCTGCTGGGGGTTTTATTTCCCCCCTAACTTCTTGAGATGGATGCTCGGATCACTGAATTGTGTTCAGTCTTTCTTCTTTCCTAACATGCATTTAAAGCCATAAACTTTCCTCTTAGTATGACTTCTGCTATACCCCACAAATTTGATATACAATATTTTATATTAACTCTGATCAAACTATTTTCTCAGTTTTTCTAATTCCCATTGTAATATACCTTCTATGACCCATAAGTTATTCAGAAAAGATCTGCTAGCTTCATTTTGCTATTGATTTTACTTTAATTTACAGAACACTCTTCTGTTTGATTTCAATCCTCTGAAATCTACTGGGACTTGCTTCTGCCCCGCAAGCGGACAGCCTGGGTGAACGTCGGCCAACACTGGTGAACACTGCGTATTCTGTGGTTGTTCTGGGCAGTGTCTAGACTGGCAAAGCAACCTTATTAATTCTGCTGTTCAAGTCTTCTATATCCTCACTAAATTTCATTCAGTCAGTCACAAAGATAGTATAAAAAAATCTCCCTCTATATTGCAGAACTATCTATTTCTTCTAAAGCCTGGGTTATAATTACTAAAATTTTTTTTGAATGATCTAGATCCTCTACTATAGAGAACACACAGGCGAATAACCAATAAAATACTCTCTACGCCAATAAAAATAGTAGCTAATTATTATGCAAAATGGCTTACTATCACTTTTCAGAAATAAAAATCATTTTATAGACATCCTTCAAACTCGAACTGGATCATATCCAATAATTCCAGAGAGCAGACCAATTTGTTAATTCCTCAAAGGTACAATTTACACCTAATTCATGCTGCTGGGCTCATGGGGAAAGTCAGCAATGCTCTGCAATATATTCTATGGACAAATTACTGAGACTTTCCTACAATCATATGATACTTATTTGTCCAGACCAAAGTTACCTTAGGCCTCCTGTCTGGCAAGATGGCAAACGTCACTCCCACCCCCTTAGTGCCCACTGCACTGTATCCCACTGGGCCTTGATGCTGTCTTAGAATCATTCTCCCACAATGCTCCAAAGAGCACTCGTTATGATCTGTACTCCTTATGGGCAGTGAAACCCACTGCTACCCACCTCTGCTCTGTGGAAGAACCTTTGATGACCTGGCTGAGCGTCTGTTTGTGTGGTCCTTCTAAGAACCCTGAAGCTCTGGTATAAAATGGACAGGTACAGAGTAGCATCCTCAGGTCAAGTATCATCTGCCAGTTTGGATGAAGCTCCTTCCCAAGCAATCCCAAGGCATCTTTTGTGTTTCCACCGGTCACAGTACATCACAGTGATCTTTTCCTGTCAGCCCCTCGAAGACAGGAACCATTTTGATTGAATTTGATATCCTCAGCATCTAGCACTGCCTCGCATAGAGACACATGTTCCTTCTACTCGCCCCCTCTGATCTATCTCTACATAGCACCCCTACGGATCCTCTTAAAATCCAAATCAAAGGATGTATCATTTCTCTGCTCAAAACCTTGTGATGGCTTTCCATCTCAGAAATAAATACAAAGTGCCAACTTATTCTATGCGACCCTGCATGATCTGGCCCTTTATTCTATGACCATGCACACCCCACTTACTCATATGTCCTCCTTATACTCCAAGAGCCATTACACTCGCTGTACCTTCCCCCATTAAGTCTCTTTCCCAAAATACTTGCCTGACTGGCTCACTCCTTCACTTTCATTCATACCTCTGCTCAAATGTCACCTCAGAAACACCTTCCCTGCCCACGCTGTGAAAAACGACAGTCCCTGACACTCTCTTCCCTTGTTTTATTTTCTTTACAGCCCTTACTACAACATATCGTAATGGTGTTTATTCATTATCTTTCTCCCCCACTACAACGTGAACTCCATAAGACAGAGCAGAAATTCATCCTCTAGAAGACGGATCGGGAATGTTTGCTGTGAAGGATCAGACAGTAACTACTTTATACTTTGCACGTTAGTCCCTGCCCCAACCACTTTACTCGCCTCTGCCGTACAGCAGGAAGGCAACCAGAACAATACACGAACAAATGGGCACACTGTGTTCCAACACAATTTTCTTTACATCAGGCCAAAGGCAAGATGTGGCCCACAGGCTATAGTTCAGCAGCCCCTGTTCTAGAACAAGTGTGGCATACAACACACTGAATTAATCAATCATGTCTCTGTTCCTACCTCAAAGCTACCTTTAATTAACAACATAAAATAACAGCACTCCAAGCTCATCAGAAAAGATCATGTTAAACTAGCCAGTTTCTATATATATTTTACCAAAAAATCCATTTGATGTTAATTATATTCCTGAATGGCTGTTTGAAGGATATGTAATTCTTGCCACTAAAAAGTACATAAATCATGTCAGTTTGACCCTCTGCAAAAAAACTTTTAAGGTGTACTTAACTTCATGTAAGGACACTACAAAAATCAGCCTCCTAAGAACCACTGTTCTAGGTGCTGTAATGATGTCACTGAGCACGCCACCCCGGACAGTTTTCAATGTAACCAGTATGAAGCCCCAAGTGTGAAGTCAGGAAACATTACTAAGGAAAACAAACTGGCGTGTTTGTTATGGATGGTGAAAACTACAGGGTACAGCTGAGGACACCTCCTTTCCATTTTGGCCATCACAGAAGTTC